AGGAATACTCAGTAAGTACAGACCATTATCAGATAATCAATCACAGAAAGGGGGGAGAAAGAAAAGCTAGTAACTGCAGCTTTTAATTTGGGTGGAAAAGGGCATGGGAGCTTTTATTAAATTACTAGGACTTTGTTCACTGTGACCTGAACTTCAGGGTCTCACAGTAGTCATGGGCGATCCGAGGCAGGCAGGGATTTCCGATAGTCTATAAAAGCTATTTTCTCTCCTTTCTGGTATGGGTTGGCACCGCTCATGCTAAATTTATAACCCTGTGGTGTGGGTCCTTCCAGGCAGCATGGCAGAGCTCACGTACTGGATCTGTGAGTTATGAATGTAGCAGTATTGTTAATGTACTGTTCACAAATGGAATAACAGAGTTGACGGCCTTTGTGTTGCGGGAAACAGCTTATCATAATCTGTGCCCTTGTGACCTTCCAGCTGAACCAGTGCTGCTGATTCATGTTGCAAGCGACTACTTGATGGTCAGAGACCGTACAGTTAACCTTTTGGCATCAATATGCACTGCAATTAGAATGGATTTATAGCCATCATCTGATGCCAAACCACAAATGTGATTAAATATTTTAAGAGTCTTTCCTTCAAAGCAAAAGGTAAATATGAAGTGTGTGCACTTGAGGAGAAAATGGGCACCTGAGACTTCTTTTTTTCCTTACTGTTTTGAAGAACAGTTCTTCCCCTGGTAACCAGGTAGAAAATCTTACCTCTGAAATCATCAAATTGGTGTCACAGAGTTTGGAAGAGCTGGGGTTTGCATGCCAGTGGGCTTGCTGCTGGTCCTATATTTACAGGGTGGCACAGCAAAACAAGCAAAACGGAAACTAAACTAAATAGCTAACATATTTTATGGCAACTAAGTAGAGCATTTCTCTCTATGTTTTTTCTGGGATGCACCAGCCCACATTACCGCTCAGAATAAACAAGAAGAACGTGGTTCTTCTTTGAGGGCAGTTACTGCTTCTTCACAAAGGTAAATAACAAGCAGGGAAATAAGAATGTGAAACTCTAATAATTAGGTTTGCTTTGTTCAACAGCTGCTAAATATTAACTTTACTGCAGACTTCACCTGGGAAATAATTCAGGGATGGTAGGAACACTTGGAGCTGCTCAGGTCTGCTCTAGTGTGAATGAGTACGCTCCAAAGTTTTTGCTTTATTGCTATAGTCAGGTGAGTAATTCGTGGTTTAGTAATTCAGTGTTCAGCAGCAGAAATATTGATTAGTTGTAAAGAATTAACACAGGTTAAAAAATCCCTGCCAAAATTTTCTGTTGGCTGACATTTTGTCCAAAGTTGAGTACAGTAGAATAATCATTGTTCTCTCTCTGTTTGCAAATACCATGTTCAATAGTCATAAAACACATGCTTTTGTTTATCTCACCAACATCTACACGTTCCTGTCTGTGCTGCAAAACATGGCTCAATATTTCTGAAAGCCATGCACCGCTCCTGCGATGCATGGGAGAGATTTCATTTGTGCTTTGCAGGGAGCAGACTTGCATTACTTGCCTGGTTAAGGTCTTAAGTGGCAAAGCAGGAAACACAGTTCCAAAATCCAAACTCTTCAGCTCCTGCCAGGACCGTGTTTCTTCAACATCAAGTTTCCCGAGGTGCTGAGCCTTCCTCTTTCTTCCCAGTGGGAAAGAAGCGGAAAACAGAGCAAACTTTGTCACCTTAAAAGCTGCAGAGTGAAGTGTTAGCATAACCGAGGATGCAGGATGCTCCAGGATGCTTACTGCATTCCTTGGACGGGAGCACTGGGAATGATTCCCAGGTTGGAGACTTGTCAGCTCCCTCTGGTCTCATTGAGGGATGGGGCTGATGTGCGTGTCAGTGGCCTTAGCCATGTCTCGGTTCCTCTCATTTCAGAGGATTTGGGTTACTTACTCATTCCATGCCAGCATGCTCTTTGCCATGTGATGTAGCTGTGACATGGGTGATGCATCCCAGAGCTATGATGTAGCCACGGATAATGTGATCCTGAAGGTTTAATGCATTTTGTCCTTTTGCGCATTGTTGAGCCTGTCTTTTACCAACCGGTAAGGGAAGCTTGGCCACAGATGGATCTCTACTAAAAGTCCATATCTCACCAAGGCTCTCTTCTCTTCCAGGTGATCCCGATGCTTCCCAAGCTGCTCTGTGAGGAGTTATGCAGTCTCAATCCCATGCGAGATAGGCTGACTTTCTCTGTGATGTGGAAGGTGACTCCAGAAGGCAAGGTACCTCAAGCAGCAGACAGTCATCCTGCTAATCAGTCCTCCCTCGGTGGCCAGCCCCTACCCTTGCAAGCAGAGTGGTAAAAATGCCATCCCCTAGCACCCAGGTGGATAGCAAAGGACTTATCGGTGAACAATACTGGAGGATGTAGGGCTGTCCCTGTATCTTGTCTTACTGATGAGATATTGTGGAACTTCCAACTGGAAAAATCTCACAACATGGTGGGGAAAGGAAGGATATTTGTATGAATCTCAGGAACAGAGAATTGCCAGGTCACCCATTTGTTTAATATCCTACCTCCAGCAGCAATCCATAGCTAACGCTTTGGGTGGGATGAGATGTTCCCCTCAACTCCAACCCTGCCTGTGCAATGCAGTGGATGTGGGCAGTATCCCTCTGTGGCCTCTCTGGTAAACAGACTATTTCATTCTTCTTCAGAGCTACAAATTACATCAATCCAAATAAAGTGTGATAGCTCTTCAGCAAAGGCACAGCTCCATCCTCTGCATGTGTTATTTCCAGGGAGCAGTTGTGGAAGTTGTCAACCAGTGCGGCGAGCTGCCTTCAGCTGCCTGCCAGCTCTCCCCAGGTCTTCATTTCTCTCCCTGTTCCTCTCCCGCACTCTTTGTTAACCCTAACAGCCTTCTCTTTGGTGATCACAGGGTGCCCTCGCTAATTGAGGAGGGCTAAAGACTGCCACTACCAGAGGACTCTCTGGTCTATGCAAAGTATGCTTTTTGTACTCGGAATAATTTTTTTTTTTAACTCTGTGAAGAATATTTCTTGTGCCAATTTGGTAATTTTTCGCAAAGATTAACTTTACTTCCTTATTATTGTCCACGTTGCTCTAAAGGATGCTGAATCTTGTTTTGTGCTTTAGCAAAATTTAGTTGCAGTCCTGCATCTGTGTTTCTCCAGCTATTCCCTGCTCTGGCACTGAGGTGGGGTTTTTTGTTCACTGTGAAAAGTGTTCCACTTCCTATAGCGACAGCATTATTACTCATGGGGCCTTCTAATAGTAGCTACTTGGTGGCCCTTTTATTGACTCTGAGTGGTCTTTGAACAGCTAATAGTCAAGTCTTAATTAAAATAAGCTTCTAATTAAATCTTGTCTCTTGTCCCCTGCAACATGTACGTTACTTGCTTTTCAAACAGTGTTCAGACCAACCCTATCTGACCAGTGAGAAAACAGAGGAGCTGCAGCATCTGCCTTACTGATCAGCAGGGAGCTGATCTCTGCGGGAGCAGCGGTCTGGGCCATGAGCACGCTTCCCCTTGGAAAGCAGACTGTCGACAGCCATCTCGGCAAACTGGTTTCTCCTAGGAGGTCTTTCAGGACTGCAGTCTTAGTCACTTGATTTGAATATCGGGTGAAGACTGGAGAAGAATTTACTCCTTCCAAGAGGAAAAGTGGTTGTAGAGCTTTTGCCCAGCAGGGCATTCTTGTAAGAGCTTATCTATGAGTTGGGACAGAATGTGTCTCCTGTGTTTCTAGGTGTTACTATAGCCTGATCTCGGTTAGCTCCAGGCCCTGCTGGGTGAAAGGGAGCTGAGTCAAAAGCCCCAACACAGCCCTTGAACCTCAGCTGGTGGTGGAGAGCCCTGAGAACACTGACATTGAGGACAGGACATTCCTCAATGAGGGACGCGTGAGGCCGAAGAGCACTTTATTGCACCCCATGTGCACTATCGTAACCCTGAGCTTGCAAAGCAGAGCCCAGAGCACCACTGGAGGTGTGAGCTGCTCTGAGCTGCCACTGTTACTGTTCCAAAGCAAGTAAGTCTAGAGCTAATGCATCTCCCACACATTAGGAAAAGCCACGCAAATTCCTCATTTGAATGTGACTTTTGATAAGTTGTTGAGGTTTTTAATTCTTGTTTCTTTTAGAAAAATAGTGCCAGGCTCAGCCCTTTCTGGGAGACAGGCAGTTTCTTGTTTCTGTTGCTTTTGGGTTCTGGAGTTTTTATCTTCTAGTTTTCCATAAGCTCAACAAAATGTTGCCTGAGCAGCACTCCACATAGCTCCATGGACTCCAGTGGGATAGTGTGACATGATGTATCTGAGATGACTTTCCAAGGGCAGAGGCGTTAACCATATTGTTGCATCTGTGCTGTTCTTCAGAAGCAGAGCTGGGCGTTTATAGGAACAATGTAGCACGTTCTTGTTCAGATGCAGTCAACAGAAAGATATTTGAAAACAAACGATGCAACTCTCCTTTTAAAGTTATTGCCTGGTGGTTTGAAGCACAGCCCTGCTCATTCCTTCTACCAGTGAGGAAGAGAAATTGCTTCAGTCTGAAACTACCTATACAAACAATCTGTCTTCCAGGCTCAAAACTGTTGTCATCAGCCAGGATGTGATATGGACACTGCCTTGAGTGTGGAGATGTCCTCAACCTCCTGCACAGCTATGTCATACCCTCAGAGAGACCCGTACCACCAGGAACTGTGCAATTGGGAGGGTTTCAGCTGAGCCACAGTCACTGCCATCACATGATAAGCTGGGGACTATGGCTTTTTCTCAAAAGCAACCAGAGCTGGGGGAAGCCTTAATATAACCGTAGAAATGTTTCAGATACTTGTACTCTGCCTGGCTTCTGAGTGCACCACGTTTGCTGTGATGGGGGAGATCTTGCAGACCTGTCTTGTGGGCTACTCGTAATTTCTGAGTCCCAGCTCACAACCCCCAAATGTTGCTCCTCCAAACTGCTTTCCCATCCATCCACCACTGGTACGTGGGCCAGCCAGCCTCATGTGGCTTTCCCCACAGAAGCGGAACTTGCCCATTCCTCTGGTGGGTTTTCCAAACCAGGGGTGCAAGGCTGTGGTTACTCTAGGTCTGCTTGGATGGTTGCTGAAGGCAGAGATGAAGGGCATTTCCAGGAAACACTTGGACAGTGGGTAGAGTTAAGTTAGCTTGCCGTGGCAAGGCTCAGTCTGGCAGCTCTGCTCGTTACACACAGAGATTACTGGACTGAAATAGAAGTAGTGTCTGAAAATGTTTGAACAGCAAGTTGAAAGAGCTGCTTATTCCAACTGGAGGGTCTGTAGAAGTGCTCAACTGAAATGAAAGCTGCTCAGCCTTGCTCCCAGATCATCTCAACATGGAACAACACCTTTTTGGTGCCTGAGTACCATCCGTGCCTTCCTGAAGTCTGAAGTATCTCTACTGTCAACTGGCTAATAGTCTTCAACTTGCTAGAAGTGGATCATTTAAAGAGCAGTGGAGCCTCTTCCACACCAGACATCATGCTTGCTTATTATCAGATTTTTTTTGAATCCAGCAGATTTCTTCATATGTCGCTGACCTACCAGATACGGATCCCCCATCACTACAAGAAGCTGGACCACATTTAGCGGGATGCAGCAGAACACAGAGCAGGTGCTGCCAGCACTTTTTCAGCATCTCTGTCCAGCTTTGTGACTTTCTCTTCATTTCTTTCTCCTTGGTATAGAGAAAGGGGCACACAGAATAACCGTGAGCACTTTACGTTGCGAGACATCACTTGCTGCATCTCGGCTATCAAGACACTTTCTCATTACAAATGGGCTGAAATGCCCTGTGATTTTCAGAGCTCTGAGGTGCTGAGCTGTACTGCACGTATGTTCTGAGGGGCACAGAGGAAGGAGACAGCAAAGGTATCTTAGGGATCAATCCTTTCCTGTTAAGAGGGTTTGCCTCTCTGAAGCAATGTCTTTGTTGAGTCTGTCTTTGAGAGAGCTGACTGTTCTCCCTGGACACCATCACTTGCAGAGTTTACCTTGCCCTGTTGTGCTGATGAAGGGGTAAGGTGGCACTTGTAGCTAAGGCAGAATTACAATTCTCCATTCATTCTCTGAGCACTTGTGCTTTGAATGGTTTATGACAGACCACATCCATCTCCAGAGCCCTCATGCCAATGCTCTTGACTTTTCTGAAGAGCCTTCTGCCATTTGTCCCTCTACGCTTTCTCACTGGCTTGATGAGCTTTTGGACTCTCTTATATATCTCAGCTGAAAATAGATTTTCCTTTCTGCTTTAAGAAATAATTCTGAATTGCTACTTCTACATTGGTATTCTGTTACGGAGTTTAAAATGGGAGTGGCTTCTGGTTTAAAATAAAAGAATTTTATAGGCTATTTATAGATTATTTTTCTCTAGATTCCAACATAGTTTGGAAGCTCAGAAAGATCCCTGGCTTGAGTGTGGGCCTAGGGCCATAAGCATGATCAGAGGAACAGGGGGGGTCAGTGACTGGCCATCTCTCCTCCAGACCCACCAAAGTCCTACTCAGACACTTTCACAACTGCTAGCCAGACATTGGAGTCCCTGCAGTACTCCTGAAAATGGAGTATTTTAGGGCCAGCCCCTGGTGCCCTGCTGGCCACATATTAATTGAAGAGGTAGAATGCAATCTGCTGTGTTTTAAATACAAGAGCCTTCTTTGCATGTGTGTATCTGCCTGTTGCCACCCCTGCACCCAGTAACCTTTGAGTCAACTCACTGATTTCACCTCCCAGCTGGGCTGTAGCTCTTATGAGCTCTATGAAAGAGGGAAATCAGGTAGAGAAGAGGTCCAAGCATTTCCTATGTGATGGAAAGACTTTGTTATACGCATTATTAGACACTAGAGAATCTATATGGGCAAAAGCCTTTCTGGTGGCCTTAGTATGAGATCTTCACTTGAAGTTCACAGTCAGTGATGAGGTCTGGTGTCATTCCTTCCAGTTTGTACAATTTCCCAAGCTGTTGTGTACTGGAAGAATAAGCCCCCACATCTATTTACACTTTCCAATTTTGCAGATCCTTGATGAATGGTTTGGGCGGACGGTCATCTGCTCCTGCGTGAAGCTAAGCTATGACCATGCACAGAGTATGATTGAAAGCCCTGGGAAGGTGTTCTCACCTGAAGAACTTCCCCCTGTCTCCCCTCAACACTCAATAGCTGAGATCCAGCAAGCTGTGCTGAACCTGCATCGAATCGCCCAGCACCTCCGCAAACAGCGCTTCATCGATGGTGCTCTGCGCTTAGACCAGGTGAGTAAATCCAGCCCCTGTAAGGGTGTCCCACTGCAGTGAAGCAATTTCTTGTTGTACTCCCTAAGAATTTTCTGATCAGTCTAAAAACTTGAAGGGGAAAGTCAGGCTGGAATGGAAAGGCAGGTTTGTGTGCCAATGTCTTCTTAAAAGCGGCATCGAATTTTGTACCAAAAGCACTAAGTAAAGTAGGATCAAAAGAAAAAAGTTCCTGTTTTTTAAGGAATGGCCCATGTTCCAACACTTTTCAAAATCCTAAAACCTTGGTGGAGTGGGTAAGTAACTTACACAGCGAAACAAATCATGATGGTGTCATTCATTATCAAGCAGTTCAGATATCCTTAGTGCACATTTCATTGTGAAAGGCTCATCCTCCACATTTATTTCTGTGCTTGCAATACTCACGTTTTCCACAGCTTTCATAGCAGTTCTCTGGGCAGGGAAAATGACTAAATGTTATCCAAGATAATATGTATAAGTGCTGGGTGTGTTTCAGAGAAAGAAATGCTAGTGAGGAGGTTTTCTGTCTGGGGTGATTTAAATAATCTTGTATCAATTGAGGTATGTGTCATTACTATTTTACAAGTAGGTCCAAATATTTTAGACTATCACAGCAAAAATACTTATGCATTTGAGGTTCAGCTGCTCTGAGATGGCTTCTGACGGTTTTTGTGGATAGGAGGTTCCAGTAATTGATACAACCCAGTGGCCTTCCTGAGCAGGAGACAAAATAATCTCTTAATATGAGGAAGCTCTATTGTTTCATTTTGCAAAATGAGTGTGAGTCAACATGAGGATATTGCTGAGAAAGAAGCTAGTGTACTGAGATATGTAAACAGGACTATTGTATGTAAGAGGTATGTTGTAACCCTTCCATTTTACTCAATGTTGTGGTGGTGTCTCCAGTTGCAGGAAAGTCTTAATTTTAGAGAAATCATTGCAGAGCAAAAGAGCAACGAGTGTCTGTCATCTGCAACCTTCCCTGGCAGAGTATGTGGCTTTGTCTGGCAACACTGTGAAGAGGAGGCAGTGTTCTGTTCCCTTTGTCTAAGATGGACAGGATGAGACATCTGTGTCTTGAATTTTAGTAGGGGAGATTGGGGTTGTATTTTTTGGATAAACTTTCTGGTGTCTAAGGCTATCTTGCCCACATCTGTTGTAGGGGCACTTAGAGGACTGGTTAGGCACACATAAGTGAGCCTGGAGCAAGGGCATTTCCTCAAGGTCCATCTTTACTCAAAGGAAATAATAATTCTTAAAATTGTATTCAGATAATTTTTGGAAATCAAACTCCCACTTTGAAGTCCTGCAGAGCTTGCTTAAACCTCTTTGGGAACAGAGTTTTCCTTCTGAGATTTACTGTACAATGGCTAATAAGCTGGGCTTTTGTTCCCAAGCACACTCTGAATGCTAGAGAAACAAAAAAACCCAGCCTTTGAGCTGACTGGGAAGCCTTGGAGATATCTGGTTTGGAACGACAGTCTGCGGGTGGCTGGGAGCTCTGGCCCAGAAAGGTGACCAGCTGCATTCCACAAGTCACGCTTACAGTGTAGTGCTGAGCGGTCACCGTATGTGCCTGATCTGAGTACCTGTTATCAAACTAACCTCAGGGAAAATATGTTTTAAAACAGTTGTGACATTTTCAATGGGAGGACTTGGCCGGGGAAGCATCCTGTTCCAGTGATACCCCGTAAAAGATTAGTGGTGTTTTGTTTTGCTCCCTGCTCTTACAGAGGAGCCATTAAAGAGAACGTATTGGAGCATCATTGTGAGATCGGGGTTAAAAGCCACTGCTAAGGGCATCTGAGAGGGCTGATTCCTACTCAGCCTAGTTCCTAACCAATGTGATAAACTGAATTATATCTCACAAGTGGCGTTTTATGCTGTGCAGTATCTCTCTGCCCTGGCAAGAGTGTCAGTGTGAAAGTAATGGTCTTTGAGAAGGAAGGGTATTTTAGTTCAAGGGACACTTTCACCATACTTACTCTTTTCAAATACTGCCTTGATAGTTTTATTTTGATAAACTACACCCTCCCTGGCACATGGAGAAAGCAGTTACTGCAAGGCCTGAGTAAGAACAGTATGTGAGGGACAGGTGGGTGGACATGGCCAGTGGTGTATGGCTGGACAAAGCAATCTGTAGGCTTTCCTAGAAGGAGATGAGTCCCTCTTGCCCTGAGTTCCCATGGACGCAGTTGTGTGCTGGGTCCAACCTCCAGCCCCGAGCGAGCAAGCAAGGGTGGGCCCAAATGGGAAACACACCTTTCTAATCGCTAGACCTCTCACTGATTTCCTGTTGAGTAATGTAAATCCTGAACAATGGAAGACAAACTCCAGCAGGAAACTAGGGGCAATGAATTATCAGATTCCAAATAAATATGTGAGCGAAGGAAATGATCATCTCATGGTCTTAAGGGAGGGGGTGGCTGGCCATGGATGACTCCTGTGCTTTTTTTTTTCCAAGGGATGTGGGCTCTCTTCCTATACATTACATTATGTTTGAGAGGTTCTACCTTGAGGTCACTGCTGATGTAACAGTGATGACTTTTTTTGCTTACTTCCACCCAGCCATTTTTCAGTGTGATCTGCTCTGGTGCTTTCTGTTGGTATTAAGAAAATCACTGGGGGAAGAGTTTCCTGTACTGCTTCGCCACTGGCTGTGGTGGCCTTGGGCTGGTGCTCTCCCTATCTGCTTCAGTTTCCCCTTTGGAATGTATTGATCTCCCCCGTAGTATCCATATAATTTAGCATTTATTCCCAAAAACTAAGAACATCTCTCAGGTGAAGCCATTCATGGGTTTATCTTTATAATAGCAGAAATACTGGTTGATCAGGAAACCCCTTGCTCCCAATGCAAGATGGCTCCAGTAACATGCAGCAGTGTTGGGCTGGCAGTGGTGGAATGTGAGAAGAATGTTTCATGTTTGAATGTCGCTGCTGAGTTTTTGTGACCTAGTCTGAGAGCAGCATCTGCTTGCCCATGGTTTTGTCTTTTAGCAGTAATTTTAGAAGCAGGAATCTCCTATAGCTCAATGACTGAAGAATTATTTTTTTTTAATAACTCGGGAATTACATATCTCGGTCACACAGAAGACCTTGAGACAAATTCCAGAGGTAGCACATGGTCTTGAAAGCTAAGGATTTGTGGATTCAGTATCACTCTATATGTGTCTCTTTGGGGCTGCCTAATTCTGAATTCCTGCCTCAGTTCAGTCCTGGCCATGGCGACCTACATACCTGCCACTCTTTTTCGCCCCCAGCTCCTTTCATGCCTCTGCAGAGGTCTGTAGGGGAATCCTGCTGCATTGGACCTTGGGTCTGAGGACCATCTTTGCAACCAGAGCCACACATCTGTCATTCTGTGGGCTCTTGCTGTCCCCATAGGCCCCTTCTGGGGCTTTTTCCCTAGAATATGGTTTCCTGTGCTGCCTGCCAGCTTTCCTAGCTCCAGAAGGCAGCTGAGCTCTGAGTTTTAGAGGTTTAAAGTCTTTGCACCTTCAGCAGCTAAGGAGCTTATGAAACTTTGTCCACACAGACAGAGATTAATGTATTTCTTTTCCTTCTCATTTGGAGCTGCAGCTTTTAGACGTAAAGGCAAGAAGTGCCTTGTACTGTGGCTTTGAGGAAAAAATGTTCAGATATTTACAATATTATCTTTCCCCCCCAGCTCGCCTCCTTCCTGCCCGGGTCCAAGAAATGCCACCCCTGTGCTGTCCTCTCACAGCTCTCGATGCACCCACAATGTAAATTAGAGCAGGGATCTGACCTGGTTTAAAAACCAAAGTGAGCACAACCCACAACTTTCCTTTTTTTTCCTGGCCAGGTTACTTTGAAGCTGGATCACTTCCCCAAACCACAGCTTTTAGAAACACCAGCCAGAGAATCAGATAGAAACTTGCTTTCAACAAAAACCATCAAGTTTGCAGAAAAGCTCCTTAGCTCAAGCCTGCCTAGAGGAGACCTGCTGATAAATAGTTCTCTTTTTGGCCTGAACAGTTTCTAAATGAATCACGAGGACAGATGCCTACAAGAAGACAGGTTAAAAAGGATTTCTGTGCGTATTTAAAATGAGAATACCCTGGGATGCTGATTTGTCTCTATGACAACTGTCTGTGAGCTGAGTGGTGGCTTTTGTTGTGCCGGTGATTCTGCCTTTGCCAGCACACTTACACCTGGGTGCTCAAAACGTTGGCATTGACCAAAGTTCATCGTGAGAACAACCCAAAGTGCATTTGCGTTAGACCGGTTAATGGCATTGAATCATTTGCTAGAATAGCTTCTCCTCTTGTTCTCTGCACAGCAGACATTCAGATTTGCAGGTGTGTGCGAAAAGGGAAGGAAAAAGGATAAAAATGGCAGAGATGAGAATGTTATGCAAATTTAAGGGTTGAATTGCCAGTGAAATGGTCTCGCTTCTGCTTGCTCCCAGCCTGTGTGCCGTGCCACTGTCTTGTCGTCTGAGCAAGGATTGCTTTTCCCTGTGGGTCTTTATTGTTCTGAATAACTTAAAGATAGTAAAAATTGTATTGTTGTAGCTCTGTAGCGCACTGGAGACCTTATCTATGGTCCTGTCAGTGGCTGCTGGGTATAAGGAAATAAGTGATCTTTGAGAACAGCTTTGTTTAATTAAGATTGGTGGGACTCTTGAAGTAATAGAGTATTTCTGCTGCAGGAAACATAGGGAAACAAGCACAAAGACCCCAAACAGCAGAATGTGTGCAGAATACCAACTCCAAAACACCCAGCTATATGGCATATTGAATATATTAACCAGCTCTGTATAGTTTTTGAAGCTCTCAGAACTGACTCTGCCTACTTGATGCAAACAGTTTTGAGAAGTTGACTCAAGCCATTCACACACAGCAAACAAGGAGGAAGGAGGAAGAAGGACGCTGTACGTGCAGGATGTGACATTGTATGCTGGGAAATTTTGTATTTAGTTGTGGCTAATGGGATAGGACAGAAACATGTATTTTTAGACAGTAGCTCCTGCTAATGCC